AAATGGGCCAAAAAAACTCGCTACCCTGACCCTGGCTCACTAGAGCGGGTGGGGTTCAAGAGAACCTTTGGGAAGCCCCCTTTCCAGAGCTTCGGTAGTCAACTGGTAAGCGCCTCGCTTCCCAGGTGAAGGGTCCGTGTTCGGTCCCGGTCCGCGCATTTATCTTTTGCTTTTTGCTAATTTTGCGCTGCACATGTGGCGTGTGCCTAGATTGTGTTATGCACACGCATTTACGTACCTCCAAAATTAGCAAAAAGCAAAAGAAAAATGCGCGGACCGGGTCCGAACACGGACCCTTCATCTGAGAAGCGACGCGCTTACCAGTTGACTACCGAAGCTCTGGAAAGGGGGCTTCCCAAAGGCCTCTTGAACCCGATTCGTGTCGCGGGTATCTTGGACTTCCCTAGTAAGCCAAAATTTACTTCAATTACAAGGTTATTTTACATTAAATTTAATTTGTGGACCCAGCCGCGTAAACGCGAATTAAGAATCGCTTTTAAATTGTAGACCCACCTGGCCAAGCATACCCGTCCTTCAGATGACCAAGGGGATCCGGGGAAATTCTACCACTCCTAGATTACTATAGCTGCCATATTTAAAATTTTATTACCCCTTTCTCTCGTAGATGCAGATGTAGACGAGCAGCGCCGTGTGGATCACGGTTATTAGCGTCTAAAGCTTGACGTCAGGGAAATTATCCAAAGAATGGCCCCCTTTAACACGAACCCAAGCAATTAGGAAGAGCTGCATCCACGCCGGTTTCTGAGTCTGAATAGCACGTATTCCGAAAAAGGTGCCGATGATTGCGCAGAGGGAAGCCCAGAACTGAAAGAATAACAATGCGTTTTCTGTCTATTCAACGAAGCCACGATTTGAGGAAACTAATCCGTTGTAGCAACCCGTCATAATCAGAAACAGCAAAATTGCTAGGACTAAACAGTGAGATTTTAATGCCACAAACGAGCATGCATTACGTTCGTAACCAGCGATAACTGAAATGTTTTGCACATAGGTTAAAAATGTCATTTTTGACCGACCCTATCTTGTGCATAATTTTTTGCGGTCCCAGCGGTTGGGGCTATAGCCATCATAGGGCGGGAAATATTTTCTGTCACATGTGGGCAGGGCCGTAACAAACCCAAATTTCGGGGGGGGCGACCCCAAAAATTTTTCACCAATATGACTAAACTACCAGCGCCGCAGGCAAAATTTTTGAAAACATAGGGTTTATAACACTAAAACTAGTGTTAAAAATAGACAAAAACAGCGCCGCAGGCAAAAAATTTTTTGGAAAAATTAAATCATAAGGGTCCCCCCTTATGAACTTTTCGGCCTTCGGCCGATTTCGGGGGCGGCTCGCCCCCCTCGCCCCCTCTTACGGGCCTGCATGTGGGATCTCGCAAATCGATAGCTCAAAATTTGCCATTTTGAACAATTTCCCAAGGCTGCATTTCAAAAGCCATTTGGTCCCGAAAAAACCTTTTTTAGTTCAACCATCCATCCATCCATGTGTGACCCTTACGAAAGTGCTTGGGACGAGGTACTCAGGGACAAGACCGAAGCCAGCCATTTCCGGTCGGTTTCGAGGAAAATACCACTAAAATGCTGAAACCGTGCTCGTACGAACGTTGACAACAATATTGGGAAAGAACCCAAGTTTTGCACAAGATAACCGAACCACGAGTGGAGTTTCCTGATAATCCAAGAACACTGTAAGTAAAAGTTACACTTACCTCAAGCCTCGTCACGATATTTGCATAATCGGCAGGGTGGATGGCGAGGACCGCAAATGTGAGGGCGGTGAGCATGAAGACGGTGTAGATGCTCCACAGTATCATCATAATAATGAAGCCGCACTGGAAATTTTCAGATGCCGAAAGATAACTCGTGAATACTACCAGTAGCCGTTTAAGGGCTTAGGTTTCGTTTTTTGTTCGCGCCGAAATTGCCACCGGGCACGATATATAATTTGCATCTATTAGCGCTTATATATACTTCATATTCTTTGAAAAAAAGAGCGAATCGAAACCTTTTTATCAATCACGAAATTCCGTGCTCACTTTTGAAGTGCAGCAAGTGCACCAGCATCCATAATTCCTTGCCTCGACCGGCGCCAACGGATGGTGTGTCGACGCCTTCCACAACCAAGTCGGGAGTCCCAATATCGGGCTAAAATGCCAAAATAATTTCTACGTCTAGACAATTTCTACAAAACGTACGGGTAGAACATGGCGGTGGTGGTGAGGCTCCGCAAATAATTTGCGAACGTCTCCAATGGAATAGCCGGCGCCATCAGGGGATAACAGCAGAACAGAATTAACCGTTGAAAATTCGCATGCGCATGTCTGGAGTACGCACTTACTTTGTATTCAAAGTTCCCGAAACGTGACTAAACACCAATTCAGCTGGCCTTTGTGGCGGGTTCGCACGGAGCACCAGGAAATGTGGTGTGGAGAGGTCGAAAGAAGCGATAGCTCCTTCCCTTCTGGGTCGCTGATGTATCTTTTCTATCCCTTACACACTCTCTCATAGACCCGCCCGCCCTCACTGCTCCGCCTATTGCTTTTTTTTGGTGCCACTGGAAAATGGCCCAGGCCACCTCCCGCCCTCCCCACACGTGCATCCGGTCCAGACGGCAATACACGTTTTCGAAATAACCCGGATGCGGTAAGATGATGTCGGGAGAAAACAAATTGCAGACCCTGCAGGAATTTGGGAGATTTGGGAGTTTCGCTGGATTTTTCAACGAAAGCGTCATCCTGCCACCTCGAAATTTAGCCTAGCTATAACCATAATTCGAATTCCAAAATCTTGAAATTTACATAAGCTGAGCCAGTTTAAAAATTCTCGGGGAATTACGCGTTCTCCCCCCCCCCTGGTCACCACTTTTAAAACATTCGAAAATAGCGACCAAAACAACGCCGCAGGCGAAAAAAATTAGAAAACCGCGTTTATAACGCTTAAATTCTCGTGAAAAAACATCGGAAACGGCGCGCGCAAGCGAAATTTTGTTCAGCAAAAATGGTGCATTAATGAAAACGAGCGCCGCACTCAAAAAATTTTAGAAAAATAGGTTTTCTAGAAGTAAAAATCGTTTTGAAACAATGATAAACAACGCGGCAGGCAGAAAAATTTTTGCGAAAAAAATCATAAGGGTCCCCCCTTATGAACTTTTCGGACCTCGACCTCGACCGTGCCCCCGGTGCCCCCCCCCCTCGTACGGGCCTGGTTGGAGATTACGAAAATCCAGATCCGAGAAAATTTGTTAGGAACATGTTAGTTCGTGATCTTCTGAGCTTAAGCGTCCTTTAAATTGATCATATCTATTGCTTTATTGTCAATACGATTAAGCCCAGCCAGTGACATTTTTCATCCTTATCTATACGTTTGGATCGACTGCATCCTGCCCTGCTGCTGCTCCAGCTCCAGCTGGCGATCCCTAAGAATCAAAAATACAAATGAATTTAGATTTTAGATTGATAGTTTAGATTATAAATGTGTAAAATAATTATGAATAAAAATTACCGGATAAAATGGTAGTAAGAAATGAAGAGAAGGGTCATAAATACGTGATAGATTAAGAGCAAGATTCCGAAGGCGCTCGTCACTGCAGTAACTCGTTAACTTTACCAGTTACCGCACCTGGCCAAGGATATCCCTGCTTAAGATGTCCCATGCGATCCGGGAAATACCCGCCGGTCCTAAACCATATTCAGTTAGCAAGCAAAGAGTTGTTAAATTACCCCTTTGTCTCGTAGATGCAGATGTAAATGAAGAGCGCTGAGTGGATCAATGTAATCAGCGCCTAAAACTAATTTTTCGAGCAAAGTGTAGAAGGAAAACCCTCAAACATACCCAAGCGATCAGGAAGAGTTGCATCCAAGCCGGTTTTTGCGTCTGAAGTGCACGGATACCAAAAATGGTGCCGACGAAAGCACAGAGAGAAGCCCAGAACTAAAAAGAACATGGATTTTTATAGAAATCCGTCTTGCCGATCTTCCTTTTTTGAAGAGATAAACCGAATTTGGCGCTACTATATCTCGCTCACTGTATTCAATTAAAAAAAAATCGAACCTCGAAATTCAAATGAAATTTAATTAGCCAATTTCTACCTCAAACTTAAACACAAATTTAGGGTATTCCGACGACGGGACGGCCAGGAAGGCGATGATCAACACGCCCAGCATAAAGATTGTGTAGATCGCCCACAAGATCATCATCAAGAGAAAGCCGCACTGGAAAGGGGGTGTCTGGATGGTAGTTTAAGCCCCTTAATCGCAGGCTTTCCTCCTTTGAGGTCTAGAAGGACTTATGAGTTGATCTCGGTCCTGATAAAGGTAGATAAAGAGGAAAGGATGTCATAGGTCTAACCCCTGCCCTTCGGAGAGTGTTGGATTGTTCGAAAATCAACATATATCCTTTTTATCCTTCCTAACGATTTTGCTAACAGTTCCTCACCTTAGAAGTGCAGCAAGTACAGCAGCATCCATAATTCCTAGCCTCAACAGGAGCCAGCGGATGGTGCGTCGACGCCTTCCATAACCACGTTGGAAGCCCAATCACTTTCCTGCATCAAAAACGAGTCTCGAAAATCGCCCGTTACAGCTAGAAACTACGAAAGTTCCGGTAAAAATTACGGATAGGACAGTTTGGTGGTGGTGAGACCGCGTAAATATGTAGCAAATGTTTCCGTTTCGGCCGGCATCAATCACGAAAGCAGAATAAAATGGCAAATCGATGCCGCAAACTCATATCTGGGCTAATATTTGGGCATGTGCACAGGGCGGGCGTGACTAAAGGGGGAGTTCGGCTGCACTTGTGGGGGTCTCGCTGGGGGCAAGCGGGGAGGTCGAGAGAAACGATAGCTCGTTCTCTTCTGAGTACCACATGTATCTTCTCTATCTCTGACACGCGCTCTTCGCTGCTCAGGACTATTGCTTTTTGGTCGAGTGGGAAATGGCCGGGACGCTGCCTCTGCACACGTTCGTTCACCCAGCCAAAACGGCAACATGTTTTTTGGAGCAGTTAAGATCTGACTGTAAAGTGTTTTTACTCAACCTGGAGTTTCGATTCGAGAACAAGGGCATTTTGTGAGTGTGAAATTTGCAATACGGATTTGGAACCGGGAAGGAAAATTCGGTATTTTAAAACATGGAGATTCCCCTCAATACAAGCTGCTTCCGTTCCGTTAAAAACTGTTTTGAAAAACCGCTTAAACTGTTTAAAAATCGTTTGTTTCAAAATTGTTTTTAAGACCAAAATAAATGCGGCGAGAAACGACAAGATTCCAGTGCTTAGATTAATAATTCCAGTTTATCCTACTATTTATAAAAAAATAGTGTTTGTGTGTTTGTGTGTGTGTGTGTGTGTGTGTGTGTGTGTGTGTGTGTGTGTGTGTGTGTGTGTGTGTGTGTGTGTGTGTGTGTGTGTGTGTGTGTGTGTGTGTGTGTGTGTGTGCCACTTTGCATCCACTTCCGTCTGTCTGTCCGGAGGATATCTCAAGAAGGGACGGGTATTAGGCTACGTATGATACGTCATTAGGTGCGTAATGGTCTAGGGATAACTGCACACATATCAGATTTTTAAAAATTAGCCATTTTCGCTATTAAATTTAGGTTTTTGTAAAAACCTCTTTGTTAGGAATAATTAGCATAGACCGGAAGTGGGCCGTCGCCTATATAAAGAGGCAGAAAGGGTTGTTTTTCATTTTTTTTTGTCTTCTGAATGGAGGACAATTATGCAAAGGGAAGAATAGTATGGGGTCCGAGACGGGGCCAGGGTTGAAAAGTCGCGAAGCGGCTTTTCAACCCTGGTTTCGACTGAAAAAATAGACAAAGTGGTGGGCAGGGAATCGAATTTTGTGAGGGATAGATTGTACCGTCATTGATTGATGCATAGTCAAAAAAAGGCAAAATACGAGGCAAGCATTCGACAACTGATATAAAGTAAATAAGAAGATAACAGTTTAATTGGCATAATAAAAGGCTTCAATACATAGCTTGCTTATTTGTAGGCTTGAACGGAATGCATTCTGCCTTGCTGCTGCTCCAGCTCCAGTTGACGATCGCTAAATGAGGGATAGTCAAAAAAGCGGCAAGACTTAAAAGCCACTAACAAAACTCACCCGATATATTGATAGTAGGAGACGAAGAGGAGCGTCATGAAAATGTGGTAGATTGCCAGGAATAGTCCGAATACGATCATCACTGCAAGCGAGGTAAAATTAATAGTATTCGAAGAAAACTGACTTGACCATGGATATCCTTCGCTGATCCTACCCTTGCGATCGATGAAAATACGGCCCTCTCTAAATGACGACATTTTTTTGAATAGGGGCGAAAGTTACGCTTTAGTCTCATAGATGCAAATGTAGGTGAAGAGTCCGAGGTGGATCAGCGTCATGGTCGTCTAGACTTTGGGTAGAAGTACTAACACAGATACAGACATACCCAAGAAATCAGGAAAAGTTGCATCCAAGCTGGCTTCTGTGTCTGTATGGCACGAATTCCAAAAAAGGTGCCGACGATCGCGCAGATGGCTGCCCAGAACTGGCGAGATTACCCTATTTTATGTCTTTTTGAAAGCGGCACCTGGGGAAAAGTGAAGATCGTCGGGTACTCCTTCGGTGGGACGGCCAAGAAGGCGATGGTCAAAAACCCGAGCATGAACACCGTGTAGATCGCCCACAGGACCATCATGAAAATGAACCCGCACTGGAAATGTAAGAGGTTCTCGATTTCTGCGTGAATGCTGAGTAAGATCCTGCTTTAATAGCCTATATTATTTTGAGGTAGCTGTATATAGCGTATTCCTTTAATAAATCGTTCCTGGTAAGTTTCCTGGCCTTATTGGAAAGTACCCAAGTCTCGGTCTCACCTTAGAAGTGCAGCATGTACAGCAGCATCGATAGTTCCGGGCTTCGACCGGCGCCAACGGATGGTGCGTCGACGCCTTCCACAACCAAGTCGGAATTCCCATTATTTCCCCTAGAAATTAGTGAATTAGGAATGAAACTAGGAATTAAGAGAGGAAGAAAAAAGAGAAGGAAAGAAAAGAGGAACACGCTCAATTACGGTTGCGGCAGCATTAACGGCGTTAAATTGTGCACTCGGAACTTTCGATAGAACTTTTGAACTGGAGGATGGTACGGAGAATGTGATCAGATCACATATCACGCCAAGTCAGAAAAGCTTGCGATTGGAGCATGCGAACACGGCAACACCTGATACAGCCGTAACTACGAACGCCGGGCGGGATCGGCCTGTGCCAGATCGACTGGCGGATCCAGGAAATGTGTGGCCCAGCGAGCAATTCCGCTTCCTTCTCGGTTCAACTGTTGCTCCTCTCCCGCCTCTATCCCTTACGCTCTATCCAAAACGCTCCTCCCTCCACTGTAAGGCCTCTTTCTGCTGTCAGCAAAAAAATGCCCACCCCCGGTCCGCTGTTCCTCACCCGCCCTATCGAGGCGGAGCGGTTTTTGGCCGATCCCGAGTTCCAATGAGGAAGTGGAGTTGAGTTCAGATAAGAAAATCAATTTACCTTATCGCAGACTATTTAGAGGTGTTTGGGAGATATTTGGAACTGTTGGAAGGCATGTGAGGCAGAGAGAAAATAACCAGCGAAGTTTCAGGTCTCGGTAGTTTGTGTTTGTTGATCGTATTTGAAAATCCACAGCTGGTGCGGGCAGTTCGGAATCCAGACATGGTGGAGTCCTGGCGACGACCCGCATCCAAGAGCAGGACAGTGGGTTCAAAATGGTATTTTTAAGCGACTCTATTCGCGCACCCGAAAACAATGTTACAATACCGATTGTAAATTGACCATGACAAACACAAGTATTGAATGAGCTCTCATTGGTATATCGATACCATAGCAAACTGAATATCACCTAAAAACGACTCCTTGTTAGATGCTATACTCCACCGTTGCATACCTTTAATAAAAGTTCTTTCTAACACTTTTTGGGTGCCGACATCGAGCCGCAGGGCCCTCTACTGAATCGTTAGGTTTTAGAAGCATAAATCTACTTACCTCCGCAACTATAAGACTGATCTTTTTTGTTGCGTAGCCTCTTGCTTGCGTTCTTTGCCTAACACTTGAATGGCTATTTTTCTGTTTGAGGATTATTTTCTAACCTTGATGATTGTTTTCTAACATAAATTAGCTTTTTTGTCTTCAATGCTCATTGAATATTTTGTGATACCAAATCGGGATTTGAGGAATGTATTATTCACAATTAAGCTGGATAGCAAAGCTTCTGCAGTTAATCTAAGGATCTCATGAAACAGGGGATCCAAGTTCATTACAACCCTACACCAGTGAAACGCGCGGCGCAGAGTTTGTTAGCTTTTGGGTAGCACCAAACAACAACACCAGCGTCAGCACTAGGAAACAGGGGGGCCGCATGACACACACCGCCAGAGCCAATACCGATGTCTCACCCGTCTTTTTGAGTCTGGCGTTTATCTTTGGGTTCCTCGGAATCTCCTTCGGTACCACAGTCTCTCTTCTTCTTCTGACGGTCTCGAAATTCTGGCGCCGGCTGGCCAGGCCGCACTTGCTTCTCCTGTCATGCCCGAGATTTTGGGTCGGCGCTTCGATTTATTCGGTGGTTTTGAATTGGTAGCTTCAGGAGCTTCGAATCTGGAGCGTAAGAAGCTTAAGCAGCGTCGAATCCAAATCTTATCTAGAATAGCTTATTCCTTGAAATATGGTCTCGTCTTTTTTAAGGCTGATACAATTGAATTTTTGGAGCATTTTCGAAAATTTTCCCCCTTGAAAATGGCCTACTCCTGAACGGTCTGAAGATGTATAACTTATCGATCGAATTCTCAATTTTGGCCCATTTACCATAGAATGACCCATGAATCATGGATTATGCGACTGATAAGCTCGGTGAAATAGGTAACGATTCCGTCTGAGTCATCGAAAACTTGGCACACCACCTTTCCGCTCAAGCCCCTTATCGCGTTTTTTGGGTTCAGACGAACAACACCATTCTTGCCTGCATTGTCTCGTTTTCGATTTTTCTCGTTTCTTGAGCTGCAAAACAAAATTTACCTTGATTTTAGCGAAAATGGAATTTCCGGTTTGGCTGTGGCGCCCTAATGTGCAACCAGAATCACCGGTGAAGGCGGGCGACTATAAGTGTTGCTATTTTTGCGGTTGCTCATCAAAGGTAAGCGTTTCTCGCTTTATAAGCTTTGTAATGGATTCGTTTATTTCTATCTTCCGACGTTTAGTGCTGGTTCACGCTATGCACGGCGATCTGGATCCTCGCTTCTATCATTTTCATTGCTTCCGCCATTTTTGTCTTCCTCGTCCGACCCGATGTCACGGTGATTGCCCTAAGACAACCAGGGGTATGTTAAAAATCTATCGGTAAAATTCAAGATTTTGTATTAAGCTTTACCTTCGTTTGGCAGTCATTGTCTTGGGCTTCCTTGCCGTCCGAGCCATTATGACAAAGAAACCCGGCTACATGCAGGCCTTTATCATCGTTTTTGTAAGTTATTCGACCGTTTTTGAGTCCTCTAAACTCCCTGAAATTGTCCTATTTTTCAGGCTTCCCTCCAAGCTTTGACACTTCTTGCAGAAATCTTTTTTGGGCATCACCGTGATCAGTATGCCAAAGCATTTTTGCGAAAATCCGAACTCCAGGGTCCACCACCATCTCAACTCTCACTTCCGTGGCTACGGACATCA